ATAATAATGTAAGAACTCTTCAAATACAATTTTGCAAAATCTCAAAATTTGTTCTTAAACCAATTTCGAATTTCGCGCCCATTTCAATTCTTCCCCTCAAATTGCTCAAGCAACCAACATCAAGTGAGTCAAATTTTGCGCGCAGCCAACATTGCTTGCCCACGTAACAACTATCACGTAACGCAACATGCGTAACTCAACTCATATTTGCGTTAACGTTGGCAGTTTAATTTCAGCTATTTTCAGTATATAAAATATATATAAAAATACATATTTCACATAGAATAATTATATATGTTGTAATATATATATTGCATATTCGATTTGTCATGTTAAAATAGAAAAATGTAGGTATGTTATATTATGAAATCCGAATGGGTCATAAAATAATTGACATTCTTACATTTACAGGCTACGGTCACACTGGTTTTTCACAGCAACAGCAAAGCAAGCGGACGACGTTGGTCTCGTCAACGAGATTTTCGATACAAAAACAAATAGAGAAATAACAAATTTAAAAAACCCATTCACAAGATGATGAAAGCCGTGTCCTGTGCCTATGTGCGCGCCACCGCACAGGCGCTGTCTAACAGCCTGCGGGCCACCGGAGCAGCCGTTGGTAAGCAACAACGAGTGAAGTGGGAAATCGAGAGGCAGAGGCAGAGTTATATAATGTGAAATTGGCTAAAAGTGCGAAAGTGTGTGCAGTTCATAWTAATAATAGCTGAGCAATAAATGATTTTCGCAATGTTTGTTATGCCTAATTGGCACAGCCTGCCAATTTCCTTACGTAATTTCAACATAACCTTCTCAGCGAACAGCTGATTGGGCGTACAAGAGTGTAAAAGGAATAGAAAATAAGCCTCCAATATTACTTATGCTGAATACCGCTCTAATCGAATTTCCCTTGCAGCCACACGCCAGGCTCACACCGACCTGCAGGTGCCTGACTTTTCGGCCTATCGTCGTGACTCTGTGAAGGATTCGCGTCGCCGCAACGAGAGCGCCGAGGAGCGCAAAGCCTTCTCCTATCTGCTGGTGGGCGCCGGCGCCGTTGGCGGTGTCTATGCGGCCAAGGGCATGGTGAATGCTTTCGTTGGCTCGATGAGCGCCTCGGCTGATGTCTTGGCCATGGCCAAGATCGAGATTAAGTTGGCTGACATAGCAGAGGGCAAGTCGGTGACGTTCAAGTGGCGCGGCAAGCCACTATTCATCCGCCATCGTACCCCAGCCGAGATCGAGACAGAGCGGAGCGTGCCCACCTCCCAGCTGCGTGATCCCGAGACAGACGATGTAACTATATAATATTATATTTTATCGTAACTTTATATCTATATATATTTGCATTTGCTTGCAGCAACGCGTGGTCAAGCCCGAGTGGCTAGTCGTCATTGGCGTCTGCACACATCTGGGCTGTGTGCCAATTGCGAATGCCGGAGATTTCGGTGGCTATTATTGCCCCTGCCACGGTTCCCATTATGATGCATCGGGTCGCATCCGCAAGGGCCCGGCGCCATTGAACCTGGAGGTGCCCACCCACGAGTTCCCCGATGAGACTACCCTGGTCGTTGGTTAAAGATCCTTCGAAGCGAAAGTTGTTAACGTTTAAGCAAAAGCCCCCGCGACAGCAAAAGTAGAGGAATGGATGGAATGTAAATTAATAAAAAAAAAAACACCACAAAAATACCAGAACGGTTATAAACTAAAAAATACCAAAAAAGAACAGTTATATTTGGGTTGGCAAATGTAACAAAGATTTGAAGACGCAATTTTTCAATGGAGCATTGTTTATAGCAAACAGTAATTTAATTTGGATATGATGATTGCTATAACTATTGGATGGACAAGACTTTGTTGTAGTTTATGTTGCGTATTAAAGTCAAATGTTCTATAGAAACTTACAAACTATACCTGCATTTGGGAAGAAGTACACAAATTATCAAAAATAGCTAGCTGTTTCTTGGACAATGTATATTAATGTGTGCACTTGATAGGGAATCCCTCGCGAAGGGTAAGCAAAGAGTAAGGCAAATTAGTGATTAACTGTAAGACTGACCTGCACGACACCCGATTTCCAATGCATTTACATATAACACTAATGCAGCAATAATAACACATATACTACAATATAATAGCATTTCACTCTTTACACTTTAACTCACAACTTACCAAAACACAAACAAAAAAAGGAAAAAAAAAAAAATTCGCACAATGCAGACGATTTTTGGATTCCACATTCCACAATTCACAAAGAACTGCCACCGCGTTTAGCTTATTTTTGCTTATTTAACAGCTAACAAACTGATGTGTAAATAAAACAATTCACAACGGACACTATTGACAGCTAATACTTCACAGAATATAACACAAAACTAGTTAATCTTTATATATTAGCGAAAAAAAAAGCTTGCAGCAAGTGCAGTCGTTATTTGAAGCGCGTGCCACAATTTGACGAGCGTTGCCACACTGCCAAACTTACTTCAACTATCTATCGCATAAACTATCGTTGCATCGTGTTAGTCTAAAGCGTTGCCAGTAATTTACTTTGATTTGATTTGGTGTTTCGCAATTGTAGTTAACAAGTTTATTTATTAGTCTCTATACATAATTTGCTACGCCGTTAGCTATATACAAAGGATTAGTGCAAATAGAAACCATGGCAAGCGGAGAGCTACATTAACAAATTAGATGGAGATGATAGATCCCTTCAGTTTGTAAGCTTTGAGAAAACCTCTATGTATAGCTGATAAATCATCTGCCATATCCTTCAAAACCTTCAGCTTTTCACGCTGAACTGCTAGCCGGGCTTCCTCTATTTCCAGGCTTCTGGACGATCTGCTTAATTTATAATTCACAAGTGATGGTTGAGAGTTTCTGCCTGAAGAGGATAAATCACTTTTGCTGGAGGCTGTTGACTCAGGACTGTTTGAGGTCCCACTTTCGTTGGGCTCTATAGCAGGTGGACTCAAGAGGTTCTCGTGCGGATCGAATGAATCCATGCTATCCGAATCTTCCCAAGGCGAAAAGTCTGCAAATATTTTTTTTATTAGAAATATCTAAAAATTATATCGATATATATAAATTACTATACCAAAATTGTCAGCCATGCACAGTCTTAAGTTAACCAGTTTGGACTCCTTTAAGATTTCCTTCAAATGACTAAAATATTTCCATTTAGAAGGTTCACCCGTTTTCCGGCATTTTAGCATTTCTATTCTGTAAGAAAGCTAAATATAGTTAATTGTGTTCTCAATAGTCTTCACAGCTACATTACCTGTATTTCCTGGTCATATTATCTATTTTAGCTTTGATTTCGATATGACTTAGTCCATATTTCCACATTTTATCCGCCATTTCTCTATGAATGTCCGTTTTGACTCGCTGACCACGCAAATCGTCTATATTTTCCTGCCACAGCTTCAAAAACTGGCTCGTCGACGCCGCATCCCATGCAAATCGTGATCCATTTGTGCGATTTGCTATAAATTAGTTAAAATATGTTAGAATTATGATAAAATTTCAAATTTTTTGCGTTTTCTGTTTATTTACGTTTTCTGTTTTCCATCCTCCGCATGATGTGCCGAAAATGCGATAGACAAAAAATCGATAAGATGCTTTTTGTTTTTAAAGCTGTTCGGTCTCATCGATGACTCTGGCAGCGCTGGCTAAGAAACGATGAAATTGTTATAAGTAAATGCGCAATAGTGGGGAGAATATAGTAGAGAAAGTATTTCAACTTTAAAATGGCATGAAATAACTATCAATGAGCGAGTTAATTATAGATTTTTATGCATTGAAGAAAATTTGCCTAGCGAAGACCACTGACCAGAGAACACATAGACTCAGGGATGCCAACCCTCCGTCTTTTGACGTAGATCTCCGTATTTTAAAGGAGATCTACGTGCCTACGTGTGATGAGATTAAAACTACGTACTTTTAAAAAATATTGCAAAATACACTAAAAGCTAAATTTTTTGGGTAATATCAATATATTATGAATTAAATAAAAAGGATAATATGGTTTATATTGGGTTAGCCGCACTAAACTTTTTTGCTACTTTTTCAGCTATTTTAGAAGAAAGTTGGCTACTTTTAGCTACTTTCAGCCTTCGGTTTTGCTACTTTTGCTGAAAAAGTTTCGGCAACACTGCATGCATGACCATTTCGTTTGCGTGCTTAGAGCGCACTGATTTCGTCGTGCTATCTTTCATTACCCGAGCCAGCCAATACCAAGCCGAGCGAATACGAARTTGGYYGGGACCTGYYACACAGATTTTGCGGCGTGGAAAAACGTTGCTCTACATGTCTAGTCTATGTGTTCTCTGGTCAGTGCGAAGACCCAAAATTACATGGGTTAATTTTGGTATTTTTCTAGTTCCATCTCTGACCAGCACTTTAGTAATTACAGCCAGGTGGCAGCTCTATGCGCACAGCTGGCAATTTACAGTTTGTTTATTTTTCTTTGTTGCTTCGCAAAAAATTTGTGAAAATAATGGCCGAGGAATTAGACGATAATGATTTCTATCGCGAAAACTTCAGCGCCGACTCGGATTGGGAGGTGTTTAATGTGCAGCTAGGCGAGCTTCTACAGAAATGGGATGTGGCCGTGGATATGGGCGCTCCACTGCAGCCGGAGGAGCTCTTCCATTGTAAATGGCACGTGGAGACAGAGCGGCTGGACATGTTGCGAAATAGCATAGCAGTAGATTATTACGAAGCGCAAACAACTGGGAAAGGATCGCCAACTGCAGAGAGCGAGCCAGGCAGCGTCTGCTTGCAGCGCACGAATTGCCATCACGACTTGATGAGCAATTTGAACACCTTCGGCCCGCCCATACGCAGCTCCAGCGAGCTGCATACGCTGGCTAGGATCTATGGACTGCGTCGCTTTGTGCTGCTACATCCGGTGCAGGCGTCTGGCAATTACATGAAGTCCACCTCGGAGTTCAATTTCTTTTTGAGCGCCGCTGCTGTGGTGGCCGCTGAGGTGTCGAGCGTGGTGCCAATCTTTGTGCAGATCCATGATCCCAAATGGAATTTCTATACAGGAGTCGCCATGGCGCCCGCTCTGCGTACTCACTTTCGACTCATTGGACTTGAGCAGGCGCCGTCAGAGTGCCGTTATTTGTCGGGTCTACTCACCCTCTTCCACGACAAGCTGCCCTCGGCGTATACTCAGGAGGCGAGGGTCTCGGTGCGTACGACCTACACGCTGGACGCAGTTCGCATACGCATGCCATTGTATGTTCCGTTTAATCATGGCCTCGGCTCGGAAGACATTGCCATCGATGGCGATGTGGAGCGTCTGGATGTGCATCATTTCTATGCATTGCCGCATGGCTATGCCCCAGAGTCGTCGACCGAGAGTTATCTGGTCTACACCTGGCCAGAGCTCTCGGAGAGCGTAACCTTTGACAGCGAGCAGCGCACGGATTTTGTGCCTTCGAAGGCGCCATTGGGAAAGATCTATTTATCTGTAGAGGCTTTCTCCTATCTGAGTTTGTGCTTGGCCGATTATCAAACTGTGGGCAAGGTCACACGCTCGCTGGAGTCCTATGTGGGTCGCAATTTCTCCGGCATAAGCAGCGGCGCCGAGCGCACAAATCCATTGGATAAGCTGACCGAGCACAAGCTGAGCAGCAGAAGGGAGCGCAACTATGAGCTGCCCTCGCAAGAGTCTCTAACGAAACGTCTGCCTGGTCCCATGACCGAGAAGGAATTGATCGAATTGTTGGCCTATCTCTTTCCCGATATGTATCCAGAAATGGCGCTCTTTCCCTATTCCAAGCAGAGCTTCAAAGATAAGGTAAGAACTTTCTCCCACTCTCTGTGCATTCTTTGATAAAGTTTTTTTTTTTCTTCAGTTCGATCCGATGCGCATTAAGAGCGCCGTTCCAGATTCCTTGGTTTGTCGTCTGAGCTGCTTGCTGGCCACCTGCCACGCCCATTTGGGCAGCTTGGAGGGCATGGCACAACTATGGGCGGCCTTTACACGACAGCTTCGTCTATTATGGGATAATTCCTTAACAGTGCCCGGGTAAGTAAACCCATTTTATATATGAAGATAAACCCAAGTCTTAACAAAAATATGCTTTATTTCGAACTCGTTGCGTATGAACGAAAAAACGTGTTTTTCTTTATTAACAAACAAAACAGGTTTCTAAAGAACTTTTAGTTAATATTTTTTTTATTATATCTTGGTGGAAGCCGCAAATGTAACTTTTGTTAAGTCAAAACACATCAACAATTTAACGCTCATTTATGCTTAGAGAGTAACTTCGATCCGTTCTAAAGTCTAAGAGTGGATGGTGTTTTCGTTAACGATCTAAGGTTTTTTGCTTTTGGTGTTTCAGAGATGAGCGCGCTCTAATATTGGAATGGTATACATATATCATATTTTGTATGTGAGCTTGGCTTTTAATGTGAAATACAATATAATATCGAGGGCAGTTTGACGAATGGATAGGTTATTTTTTGTTCGTTATTTTTTTTAATAGAAAATCTTTACAAAATTAATTAAAATAATATATATATGTTCAAAATGTTTTCTATTATTGATTGATATAATCAATATTAGTTTAAGATATTTTTTCATTGACTGTAATGAAAAAATTTCTTAAGCTAATATTAGTATATTAAAAAATTAAAATATTAATTAAANCTCTTACTTACTCTCTAGCTCTC